TCTACATTTTAGCATCATCATTTTGGCGCCGTCTGTGGGAACGATGCAAACCAGATCACGTAGCCAACAAGATCCTCCTGAGGCGTCTGCTCGGAGAGAGAATGACACAGCAAACGACATCCCACCTCGTGGAGGCTCTGGCTTGCCACCTCCTCCACATCCCATGGATCCGCCTCGCGAGGTTCAGGTGATCCCCCTTGGGGACCAACCACTCACCGATCCACCACTCCCTGCTCCTCGAATGGTTCAAATAACCGAGGAGGCCCTTCAACACTAGAAAGGGTTATCGACTCCCTGGGGGCTCACATCTGCCCCCAAAACATTTCGCTCGCCAAGGGTTATCGACTCCCTGGAGGCTTACATCTGCCCCCAAAATATTTCGCTCGCCAAGGGTTATCGACTCCCTGGGGGCTTACATCTGCCCCCAAAATATTTCGCTCGCCAAGGGTTATCGACTCCCTGGGGGCTTACATCTGCCCCCAAAATATTTCGTTCGCCAAGGGTTATCGACTCCCTGGGGGTTCATAGTGCCCCCAAAACATTTCATTCGCCATGGGTCATCGACTCTCTGGGGGGTCTACTTCCGCCCCCCTCGAACGGTTCAGATAACCGAAGAAGACCTTCAGCATATGATCGCCGAACCTTCAACAAAGTCAACTTCTACTTGCTCCTCTAACAGCTCAGATAACCGATAAGGACCTTCAGCGTATAATCGCGGAAGCTTCAACTTGTGCTACCACTGAAGCAGTGGCACCATACATCGTCATAGTAGGAGCCAACGCTCCTCCTCGTGAGGCCCCACTGGGTCCTCGATCAATTTCTACTTACTTCTCGAACGGTTCAGATAACCGAAGAAGACCTTCAGCGTATAATCGCGGAAGCTTCAACTTGTGCTACCACTGAAGCAGTGGCACCATACATCGTCATAGTAGGAGCCAACGCTCCTCCTCGTGAGGCCCCACTGGGTCCTCGATCAATTTCTACTTACTTCTCGAACGGTTCAGATAACCGAAGAAGACCTTCAGCGTATGATCACGGAAGATTCAACTTGTGCTGCCACTGAATCAGTGGCACCATATATCGCCAAGGTTGGGCATCTCACCCCAGTGGTTCGTGATCGCCTCATCCTAAATGGGGGGCTATCCCATCCTAAAGTTGGGCATCTCATCTCAAGGGTGGTACATCCACTTACCTTTCAACCCCAAGGGGTTTCACATCCCATCAAGTGTTTCACGTCCCTACTTCAAAAACAGAAAAAATGGTAATGGTCTGACGCGCACGCGCGAACCAATGGCACAACCATGCGCATCCACCTCAGACCATAGGTCTCGAGCGCCTCATCCTACAGTGGGCAGTTATCCCCATCCTAAGGTTGGGCATCACCCTTACCTTTCAACCCTAAGTGGGTTCACATCACATCTCAAGAGACGAGTATAATCTCCCTACTCAAAAAATAGAACATCCCCAAGGGGGTACGCATCCCATCTCAAAGAACGAGGATAATCTCCCTACTCAAAAAATAGAACATCCCCAAGGGGGTACACATCCCATCTCAAGGAACGAGGATAATCTCCCTACTCAAAAAAATAGAACATCCCCAAGGGGGTGCACATCTCATCTCAAGGAACGAGGATAATCTCTCTACTCAAAAAATATAACATCCCCAAGGGGTGAATATCAACCAAAAAAAAAAAAAAAAGGGGGTAAAATCGCGCACGCGATACCCCAGAAGAAGAAAAGAAAGAAGAAGAAAAAAGAAGAAGATGAAGAAAAAAGAAGAAGATGAAGAAAAAAGAAAAAAAAAATCAAAGAAGAAGAAAAAAGAAGAAGATGAGAAAAAAATAAAATCAAAGAAGAAGAAAAAAGAAGAAGATGAGAAAAAAAAAAAAAAATAGAAGAAAAGAGAAGATGAAGAAAGAAGATAAAAAAAAAAATACAAGAACAAGGAGATGCACAAAGAGAAGAAGAAAGAAGAAGAAAAAAAATACAAGAACAAGAAGAAGAAGAAGAAAAAAGAGAGTAAAAGAAGAAGAATTAGAAGAAGAAAGAAAGAAGAAAGAAGAAGAAGAAGAAGAAAAAAAAAAAAAAAAAAAAAAGAATAAAAAATACAATGGGAGAAAGCAGCCGAGCCGCGCGCGCGAGCCGAGCCAAGCCAAGCCGCGCGCGGCTCCATCACAAAAAAAAAAAAAAAAAAAAAAAAAAAAAAAAAGAGGAGGAGGAGGCGCGCGTGCACCGCACGCGCGCGTGGACCACACGCGCGAACGCGCGCGCGCGTCAGCAGGAGAGAGAAAAAAAAAAAAAAAAAAAAAAAAAAAAAAAAAAAAAAAAGAGGAGGAAGCGCGCGTGCATAGCACGCGCGCGTGTAGTACACGCGCTGACGCGCGCGCGCGTCAGCTGACAGAAAAAAAAAAAAAAAAAAAAATTAATGGGGATGCGCGCAAGCACGCGCGCGCGCTTTCCAAGGCACCCTTGGACTGTGCGATCCCATTAAATCGCACGGACCGCCCTCCACCAAATTGCGCGTAGATTTTGACTCGCTTCACCAAATCGCACGAGAATTTCAACGCGCTCCACCAAATTGCGCGAGCTCTTTAACGCACCTACCAAATTGCGTTCGCTATCTAATGGAAAATAAAAATAAAAAAATTTATTTCTCCACGCCATGCCAACGATTAACGAAAGACTACAGCACCGATCTACTCTCAATACGATCCGGTAGCCCTTTCGAGTTTGCTCCCACATCGTCTCGAGAGTGGGGGGCTTGCGAGACAACTCCCACGAGGAGCCAACTCCCTCGGTTCTACGAAACCATAGCGAGATAACTCCCACGAGGAGACCACTCGCTCCGTCCTATAACCCGTTGCGAGGTAACTCCCACGAGGAGCCAACTCCCTCGGGTCTCATAACCACAGCGAGATAACTCCCACGAGGAGACCACTCGCTCCATCCCGCAAATTGCAGCGATACAACTCCCACGAGGAGCAAACTCGCCCTGTCCTACAACCCGCAGCGAGACAACTCCCATGAGGAGCCAACTCGCTCGGTACTATAACCCGTTGAGAGGCAACTCCCACGAGGAGCCAACTCCCTCGGGTCTCATAACCACAGCGAGATAACTCCCACGAGGAGACCACTCGCTCCGTCCCGCAAATTGCAGCGATACAACTCCCACGAGGAGCAAACTGGCCCTGTCCTACAACCCGCAGCGAGACAACTCCCATGAGGAGCCAACTCGCTCGGTACTATAACCCGTTGAGAGGCAACTCCCACGAGGAGCCAACTCCCTCGGATCTACGAAACCACAACGAGATAACTCCCACGAGGAGCAAACTCGCTCTGTCCCACATCCCGCAGCGAGACAACTCCCACAAGGAGCCAACTCGCTCGGTACTACGAACCCGCAGCGAGACAACTCCCACGAGGAGCCAACTCGCTCGGTACTACGAACCCTCAGCGAAATAACTCCCACGTGCAACCACCTCACTCGATAATAAGACTCGATGCGAGACAACTCCCACGAGGAGAGAAATCGCTCAGAGCGACATCAATCCGCACACTCGTCAGTCGTGCGTCATCCAATGATTCTACAACTTCGCTGCGAGACAACTCCCATGAGGAGACAACTCGCCCGAAACTCACTATGTAATCGCAAGCTCAAGTTAGCACGATTACAATCCTAGAAACACTTAGAAATATTATGAGAATCTATATAGCCTGGCCAGCTTGATTACTCAAATTTATCTACTTGTTTTCGGCGGGTTCCTCATTAAAACGTGGCCACGGTCCAAACATACTTAAGACCCACGAGGTCTAACAAGGGGCACGACCCCCATAAAAAAATCTTGAGAGTCTGATCCCCTCCTCAAGTACATCACGCACAAGGCTATATGTAAACACATATAAGCAACGCGTCATAACATCGACAATGTCGAAAAATAACAACTCCCACGTGGAGAATACTAGCTCCGTGCTACTACATTATCGTGAGACAACTTCCACGAGGACATAACTCGATCAACTCTATTACCCCATAGACAACTCCCACGAGGAGATTACTTGATCCGTGCTACTACATTATCGCGAGACAACTCCCACGAGGAGATAACTCGATCAACACTATTACCCCGCGACGAGACAACTCCCACGAGGAGATAATTCGCTACTACATCGTCGCGGGACAAAACCGACGACTCAATTAACTTACATCGCGACGACCTTGTCGCGCTATGCGCCAACGCGCATTCACGCCCCTCCGACACACGCTCCAACGCGTTTTCGCATACCATTAGGCCATACGCCAACGATCGACTTCTACAATTTTTACTCTCGACACGATTTGAGACCCATTACAACATGGCCCCCACATCGACTCGAGAGTGGGGGGCTTAATGATATGCCTAATTGGGCCAACCCAATGGGCCTACAATTTCTTTACCTACTGGGCTACGAGCCCAATATCGAAGACTAATATCACCGAGGCCCAAACACCTTCAAGTAAGGCTTGGGCCCAACAAAGCAAACCCAACCCAATAAATGACATATAAATAGAGGTTTTACTCATTTTATTAAGGTACGTCCTATTAACTGAGCAATACTACAATACGTATTCTCTGGACTATTTCTATGATCAGCACGTCTGACTTGAGCGTCGGAGGGGTTTCCGCCGGATCAACCCCCGGCGTAGTTCACGTGTGTTCATCTCGCAGGTACCTCAGGATCATCAAGTTGTCAAGCTACTGATCCGCTTTGCTCTCCCAATACATTTTCTACATTACCCCAGGTGATCTACATTTTAGCATCATCAGATACATATATATTAATCATGCACCCTATCGAACATGATCAATTTTTATTTTCATGAGGCTGAAACAAATATATATATATATATATATATATATATATATATATATATATATATATATATATATATATATATATATATATATATATATATATATATATATATATATATATATATATATATATATATATAAATCAGCTCTATAGTTTTTGCAAAAGTAGTTGAGCTCCATATTGAGGTTGAAGTGCTATGACAGTACGAGGAGCATGTGCATACGAAGGAGAAACATCGAAAGAAAACCGCTGTAAAATCATAGTCAAAGCCATCTTAGCCTCTAACATTGCAAAACTCTGGCCGATGCAAATCCGAGGTCCCCAACCAAACGGGAAGTATGAGAGAATTTGGCCCTTTGAAAATCCTTCATTGAACCTATGCGGGTTGAACTCCTTAGCATCGTCCCCCCATATTTCTTTGTCGGTGTGTATTAAAATTGACGGTATTATGATTTTCACTCCGGCCGGTATTTTTTCCTCTCCCATCGAAGTTTCTTTTTGAGTCATTTTAGTGAGTGTGGGTACTGGAGGGTATAGCCTTAGGACCTCATGAAATATCATGGTTACCTGCACGTATAACAAGGACGAGTGAATTGCTAAAATACCTATGCTTTATATCGAATTGGTGAAAAAAAACGAGTAAAACTAAGGCAAAAGTACTTATATCTAGGGATCTAGGGCTGGAATCGAAATGATCGAACCAAAAGTAGCCGTTTCGGGAAATTTCAATTTTTTTTGGAAGTGGAAATCTAATTCCAATTGAAATAAAAAAGAACAAAAAAAATACAAATCGGAATTTTAGAATTTTGGAAATGGAAATAAAAAAACTTTTTCTAAAGTCGGAACTTTCTTAATCGAGATTAGAGGAATTCGGAAATTCTAATTTTGTGGTCACCTATAATACGAAATACATAATAATATTGATAACATAAGTGTAATTTTTTGAGAAAAAGTCTAGAATTTTGCGATACATTTTCGGAAATTAAAATCTGATCAAAAATCGGAATCTAACATGTAGCTTAAAAAACAAAATCGGAAATCGGGACCTTCGACATTCAGAATAATAAATATTGTTCCAAAATCTGTCCATTTCAGATGGAATGGGCCGAATTCGAAGTTTCCGTTCCAATATACATTCATAGTTATATCAAAGGAACTTATGCTTACAAGATTCAAAGAAGCAACTATAACCATTACAAACAAGACTTACAATTTTCAATTGATTGAGCTCGTCAAAAGTTGGTTTTCTCGTCCCAAAAGCTCGGAGCACCTCGTCTCTGGCACGAGATTGCCAGTCCAAGTGCTTGCTCAACAAAATCATAGTCCACGCGAGCAAAGCCGACGTTGTCTCTTGCCCTGCAAAGTAAAAAAGCTTGCACTCCTCAATCACTTCTTCACAACTCATCCCATATTTATTCCCATTTTGTTGGATTTCTTTGGAATTGGATTCCAATAGAATACTCAATAAGTCATCACTATTAGCTTCCCCTGTTTCCATTTCCCTCATCCTTTTATTAATTATCCCCAATACACAAGATTGAACTTCTTTTGCTATCTCTTTCATCCTTTTATTAATCTTTGTTGGCAAAAACCTACATATTGAACATATATAATAGTTCCTTTACTTCAAAAAAAAAAAAAATAGAAGAAGAAGAAATTAGTGAAGTAATTAATATATTATTATATATATATATACACCTCCACCCTGGGATGTACACGGACTGCGATGCTAGACCATAGAGCTCGGTTTGTTCTCGTTGAAGTTCGAATACTATTCTTCCCTCTTCGTAGCTACTACCGAAAGCCGTTCTTGAAATTACGTCGCTGCTCATATTTTGAAGATACGGCCACACATCAACTTCACATGATCCATCATCACTTATTACAATCTCTTCCCATTTGCTCAACATATCATTACAACTCAAGTAGAAGGCTGGAAGCATATTCTGAATACGAGCACAAACAATTTCGTTGGAAACTAATTGAGTCGAAAGTCATAATAAATTTGCAATTAATTTTAATTTAAGACGTTTACCTTCAACTTGTCGGGGTGAAAGGCAGGAGTGACTAGTCTTCGGTGCTTAGCCCATTTCTCTGTTTCATAGGCACCAACTCCTTGCACTAGCAACTTAGTTAATGGAGTTAAAGGCGGCCTTTGAAAAACGTAACTTTTCGACAAAACCTCTCGTACAATTTCAGGGTCGAAACAAAGAATTGCAGGGCGCGGCCCAAACCACATAATCGATTTCGGACCTACAAATAGAGCCAACAAATTAACCATTCTTGAATCCTCTAAGAGCTCAAAATCTCAAAATCACAAAATCTCGAAAGAAATCCTATTTTTATTTTTTAAATCAAAATTTGTTACAAATTGGAAAATACAGCGGAGAGCACTTGAACCAAAGAAAGAACTAAGAACCAGTATCAAAGAAAAGATTTATGCCTTGGGTCCACTATGCAAAATTTAAAGAAACAAAACATTATTTGTTTATTGAAAAGAAAAAAATCAATATACTTCTAAGCCTAGTCAAAATATCAACTACAACACAAAATTAACACATCGATCGGGTCGATCTATGATTTAAGCCGTATATAGTATCTAAGAATTGCCATAGACATATGTTTATTCTTTCACTATATTACCTAAATATGTAGCAAGAACTGCAAAAGACTAAATAGTTCAATACATGACGTGGAATGTTTACTCTACGCTACATCCGAAGAACACTTCATCGACCAATATCTAACACATTTATATATTCAATACACATGTTTAATTAACACAGATCAACACTTGATTACATGTAAATCTGTCGTGATACATTTTCATACGGTATAGCATCTACAGCTTACCATATTTTTCGACGGTTTTAGAGATGAAGGGAATCACTCTAGGCACCACCGTATCACGGGAGAAACTTACGGGCTTGGAGTTGAATTGTTTGATGATGAAGGCCATCTCTTTCAAGTCTCCAAATAATATTTTGTAAGAGTTCCCATTATACCCTTGTTCTCTGAGGCGTTTTTCGAGATTTCTCGGCGTAAACCACACCCAATTCAACACTTTCCATGCATAATAAAACAATAATACCACAACAACAAAACAAAGTGCCATTGTTGCTACTTTTTAGAGATGATGAAGAGTATTATTATTTAATTTTTTTTATTTTCTTATTAGAAGACCTACTAGCTATATAATATATAGGACTTGTGTTTGTGAAGAAGAAGAAGAAAATGTGAAATCATATGGGATCAATTTTCACACACTTTCCATGTGTGAGATTTTCAGACACCTACAACAGGAAAATAAGAAACGTCTCCTCCTCTCCTATTTTACTTTCTCAGCTCCCATGTGATTTGTTTAGAATTTAATTATTTAAAAAAATAATAAAATGGTTTTTGGCTACCAATTCTTTTAGTAATGAATATAAATCTTACCAAAAGGTCATTTATTAATACAGGAACTCATTTGTAGCAAAAGGTTGTTCGAAAAAGATATGTACTACTACAGCATAATTGGCGTAGCAAAAAGTTGAACAAAACTTTGTCGTTTTAGTCTGATGTTAGGAAAAGTCTTGTAGTTCAAGGGATGGGGCCCTGGAGTCGAGGGATTCGCCTTTTGGTGCAAGGAAAAATCTTGTAGTTCATTTAATACGACATTTTCTCCGTAATAAACGAATCAAAATTTATACTAAGAAGTAAAAAGTGTTGAATCTGAAATAAAGAGAACATAATCGTTCCGGAATTACTCTCAAGTCCTTACGACCCACTACAAGGAAGGTCCAATCACCTTCAGATAAGGTTTGGGCCCGACAATCCCAATTAATAAACTCTAGCCCAATCATCGAGGTATAAATAAAAGTTCGAATTCATTTGTTAAGGTACGCCCTATTATGTGAGCAATACCACAATTTGTGTTCTCTCAACTACTTCTACTATCTACACGTCTAACTTGAGCGTCGGAGGAGTTTCTGCCGGATTAACCCCCGACCTAGTTTACGTGTTCTATGATCGCAGGTAGGTAGACATGACCACCGATTCGGTTAGAACCGGAACCGACCGGAACCAAACCGGATCAACGGTTTTAGAATTGAACCGGAACCGGAACCGAAATAACCGATTCGGTCCCGGTTCGTCATTTTTCGGAACCGAGAACCGACGGTTAGAACCGCAGTTCCAACCGTTTGAATCAATTTAAAAAATATATATATTAATTGCCTAAGTCAAATTAAAATATATATATATAAAATAAAAAAATTATTATTAAGAACAAGACGGTTCTACCGGTTCTAACCAAAAACCGATTAGGAACCAAGCCACAAGGAACCGGATATTTTTGGTTCGGTTCCGGTTCCTCCAAAATCGGAACCGGAACCAGCAGTTCGGAATCAGAACCAAACCGAACCGCGGTCAAGTGTAATCACATGTATCTCAAGATCATCAAGCTCGTGAGGCAGTGATCCACCTTGCTCTTCCAGCTCATCCTACATCAATTACTTGAGGTGATCTAACTTTAGCATCATCAGATCGATTACTGGATAAAAATCAATCCACTACCAACCCTAATATCATGTATATTTTCTCTCCATACTTTTATTTACGTTGATAGCATAGATTTATTTTAATAATTATGTTTAATTGTTTTTAAACACACGAGCCTGCCATATATTGTTATATTAATTTTAGTTTGTTTATTTATATATTTTCAGTTATTGAAATAAAAAAGTCAAAAGTTGCAGGTATTTTGAATTTGTTATTTTTTTTTTCTTTTTTTCTTTTTGTAATATGGTACTAACTAATGTTGTTTGAACCGGATCGAACCGGCTGGTGGACCAGTTTGACTGTGACCAGGCAATAAAGCGGTCCGGTCTGACATCTAAAATCGGAGAAATAAAAAATCGGAATCAAATGACCAAAATCCGGTTCGACTGGGTAAAACCATTTAACCAACAAGTCATTCAAGGAACCCGATTTTCGACCAAAACATCTCAAATCACCCCTAGCCAAAATAGTCAAAGCAGTTGAGATGAAAATATTCCAAATGTTGCTACAGTTTGCGACGAAAACAATTATCGTCGCTAAAGTTTGCGACTTATTGTGTATTCTTTGTTGGTAATTGGCGACGAAATAATGGATTTCGTTGCGAGTAATAAAAGAACATTCTTTTCAAAGATACGATAGAGACGAATTTTAGGATTCGTCGCCAAAATTGGCGTCGCGAACATGTTTTGTCGCTGGCTTTCTGACAAGGCGATTGGCGATGATTCTCGCTCGATTTAGCGACGAATTATGTTCGTCGCAAGAACCGAGAAATCGTGATCAAGAAATGTTCGTTTTCGTCGCCAATTTTCATCGTCAGTCTTGCATTTTTGTAGAACTGGGACTTTGGGATCGGGATTCGGGATCCCGTCCCGTCCCGATTAGAATTTTACTTTTGGGACTAAAACTTCGGGAATTTAGGATTACGGGATTCGGGATCGGGATAAGGAACTAATACGGGATCGGGATTCGGGAATTGGTTCAGTCCCGATCGGAATATTTTAATCCCAAATTAGGAAAAAAGAAAAAAAATCTAATAAACACACACACACACACACACACACACACACTAACTAATGTTGTTTGTATATATATATATTTCTTAGTTTTTAGGCAAAATATGGGATTCCCGATCCCAATCCCGAATTTCGGAAATATTTAGGGATATCGATATTACCGGGATTTAATAGTATGGGACGGGATTGGGATTTAAAATTTCTATCCCGAATCCCGAAATACCGATCCTGAAAAATCCCAAATTCCCAAAATCCCGTCCCGAACTCACCCCTACATTTTTGTGTAACTACTTTATGTTCATAGCATGCGTTGACCCTCAGGAAAATGCAATAGCCAATGAGTACACAAAATATTATAGCATGTCTTTTAGCAAAGTTTGTTGCAGTTAATAAATGATGTTATAATTTAGACAAAAGTCATAAAAATGTATGTCCACCAGTACTATTGTAAAAATACACGTTACAAGTTTTTTATACTCGATCCATTGTATTTTTCGAATAGAAGATGTTCCTTCCTTCTAGGGATGGCAATTTAACCCGCCCCGACGGATCCCTGCCCCGACCCGCCCCGAAATTTTCGGGTATTACTCGCCCTGAAAAAAAATGGGGCGGGTATGGGGATTGAAATTTTTTTTTTACCGGGTACGGGGATGGGTTTGGCTATACCCGCCCCGTAGACCCGCCCCGTATTATTTATATATATAATATATATTTTTTAATTATAATATTAAATATAAATAATTAAATAGTAGTAATATATTAAATATTAGTTAAAAATGGGGATTTTTAGGTTTCCATTATATAATTAAATATTAGTATTATAATTAAATAATGATTTATTTGTTGAAATAAACCTTTAAATTATAAGTAAAGTGCATATTTATTTATTAAAAAAAAAAAGAAAAAAAAATAGACGGGGATTTTTACCCGCCCCGATACCCGTGGGGATTTTATGGGGCGGGTATGGAGATTCTTTTAATACCCGTGGGGATTTTTGATGGGGATGGGGATGGGGATTTCCATCGCGGGGCGGGGATGAGGATTCCAAAACCCGCCCCATACCCGCCCCATTGCCATCCCTACTTCCTTCTATTCGCATTCAACTAATGTATCCCCTACGCGTCTGTGGGATAGGAGAGACAATATTAAGATCGATCGATTTAACCTAACTTCTTAAAGGATATGTATAACACTGAATTCCTACATAATTAACTCGAGGATGATGCATGATGTGTTATGCATCGTCAGGAGAACGAACTTTGTTTAATTTATGCATAATAATTGAGATGCCATATGTAATCGAAAAACTAGCAACCATATTCTTAAGCTCGTGCTTAATTTCTTTTTCGATGTCTTCAACAACATGCAAAATGCCAAGAGTTGAATTTATATATATAGCTACATTTATAAAATAACTAGCAATGACCATAAACTTACTAACTTGTAAACCTACCGATTGCTTACACCAAAATATCGTATACGGGCTTACAGTTACACAAAACGTACATACATATTGTTATGATGTTTGAATCGCGCGTACTCAAGATATGAAGCATATGTCAAAAACCAAGCAGACACTAACTTTGAACTTCACAATAACAGGGGATCGGATAACAAACCTTCTGTTTCCACAATTTTCATATATTTCGGATTAGCGTCAGTTAGTTTCTTCAATAAGCAATATTTTTCTTTCAAGAAATTGTAAATCAGAAAATGAGAATAAGGAAAAAAAAAAAAGGCGAACAAATCATGTGCAGTTATCATCTATGATTCCTCATACTCAAGCATGTTGTGAACATAAAAATAGAGAAAAAATTCAAAATGGATGTTCTGGTTCTATTAAAAAGAAGGATGCCACTCAATAGAAGCCATTAGGGGTGGTTTTGGTACGGTTGTCGAATATTTGGATTAGTACCGTGTACCTAACAAATCATATGGTATTGAGAAATTCAATACCGTTACCGTACCAACAAATGTGCATGGTCTACCGTTATTCGGTATTCGGTACGGTATATCGGTACATGGTACTCTACCATTAATTTTAATTTATTACACTTTGATATAAATTATAATAAGACGATCTTTATGAAAATTAACACAATAAAATATTCTAACACTTTAACCAAGAATATTGGTTATGTATATGGTCTTACTCAATTTGTCAAAACTCCCCCAGTATGCAAGTATGCATCGAATTTTAACTTCATTGATTTAACCACACCTTGCAATACAAGATTACTAGAGTCATGAATTTTATTTTCATTCTCAATTTGCAACAGCACTATTTCACTGAAAATCAAATGACATGTATAATTTTTTTTTGGCACTAGGCTTCAATGTTGGCTCATAAAACTTTTTTAGAAATTCCATTTTAACTTTTTAAGGTGGTGTTTGCAAAATCTTTTAAAAATAGATTATGAACTTTTTTTTCTCATATAATCTGTTTTTAGGTGTTTGCAAAACTGACTTTTTTGCTTTTGCTTCTCTTAAAATAAGTTGATTTAAGCCATAATTTTAAAAGCACCCATGTACCTGCTTTTTCTATTTCAGTCATTTTTCCAGATTTTTTGCAAACACCCCCAACTTTTAGAATTAAGCACT